ATCTGTGAACATCCAGGCAGTAACATGGACCCCATCACACAGTGAACAATGTGATGTTACACTTTATCTTACTGTATTGGTAACAGTGAGTGATATTTGTATCACATCAGCAGAAAAACGAATTCAGATAAAACTGAGAGTTCTTACTGAAAGGTTGAAAATACAAAGTAAAACTATTGAAGTAGTTACTTCAATAAGTGTCAGCAAAAATATAGGTCTTAGCCCACCAAAGCTATGAAAACAATGACATATTTTACACATGAATGTAGAGGGTTTATTTGTGCAAGGAGGTGTGCTCCTCTCGTATTGGTGAAAAGCTTCACTGCATGATACATCATCATGCAGTAGTGCAATTTCACATGATTCACATGAATTTTAGGTGGGAGTTTTGACAAGGCAAGTCTCTCAAGCAGATTAGGTACGATTTCACGAGGAAAACAGCTTTCTGTATATGGAGGTAAGTGATTATATCAGTTTCTGTGAAGATACATTTAGTAAATTCAGAGTTATAGTATGTATGGTTACATGGTGGTTACAAGGTTGGTCAAAGTGACTGAGCCCATACACAGAGAGTAAATCAATTACTTGCGCAGACACCACCTCCCACTATACAAGTAAAAACAAAGGAAGAGTGTTAGCTTCATAGCTTTGTGAGCCACTGAATTATTTCATTCATGGTATTAATCTTCCCATTTTCATTTAGTTTTGTGTTGTTTTTTTTTAATTACCCTTGAATTTTTCTTGAAGATAATCTGAATATTTCCTACTTGGCATATGCAGTCGCCATTTTGTTTGTTTTTAGAATTTGCAGTAATAGCCCACTTATTTTGTGTACATAGATAAATAGTGAAAAATTTTACTATCGCCAATAAGGGTGATAATGTCTATTTAAAAATATCATGATCACAATAAGTAGTAGTTAAGAAGTCAATTACCTTATTTATATATGTTGTTTGAAGAAGATAAACATAAAACTAATATTCAATAGACTTGAGTCAGAGTATTTTGCATTTGCTTACCATACTCACTAAACATTAAACTTAACTAAGCTTATCTGATTTGATGATGATTTCATTTCATGAACATAGCAAAACCCTCATGTTTACAAACACTGCAATAAAAAACATATAGTATGTATATTATTACTATTTAACAGTAAAAACAATGTAATTTTAAACAAAGAACCAAATATCAACAAGATCACTTCACTAAACCTTAAGCAGTCTCAATCTCTCTTTCTTTATTTCACACTATTTATATATTCCTGTGCCTAGATAAGCTCCTGTTGATCAAAAGACCTTCTCCAAAAGTTTTACACTTGTTACCATGTTAAACTTGAAATAAAGTTCACTTTGTTACCCATTCAACCAGTCTTTAAACTGTATAAGCTTACCTTATCTCATGTTATCTGATGTCTTCTCACTGAAAAAAATCTCTGTATTTTCAAACACATATAACTAATGCATAAATATTTTCACAATTTGCAAATGAAAGGAAAATTTAAAGAAACTATAAAAAAATTCTTAAACCTATATATTAATATTGCGATAGTCTAATTCTTGCTCTATACAATCATATTTATATTCTCTTTAGCTGTTTTCAAATCCATATGCCATTAGTATATGATCAAAACATTTGAGGTGGCACCATAGCAATGTTTCAACCAAGGTCTGTATAAAACTAAAAAAATTTTTGAAAAATCAAGAAATGAATAGTAGATTTCCAAGGGGTGATGGGTTGTTTTATTTACTGACAAAACTTCATAGCTGTAAGAATAAAAATATTAATTTTTTTTCATTTTTCTTCATGAATTACACTAAATAAATGTCAGAAAATGACAAAATTCTAATTCTAAAATATTTCCAAGTCAAAATTGTTGAAATACAGTCAGAATTATCATAAAAATTTTACTTTAAAAGTTGTGTCTCAAAAAAAAATTATCAAGTGGTTAGAAAAAATATGAAGAGACAGAAGAAACCCCGTCTTCAGATTTCATGTACAATGGTTTTGAATTAAGTTACTTTTTTAATCCTAAACTTTGTACATGAAAATGTATCATACCACAACCCAACTCATTGTTTAACATTTAGAAACAATAAAATATCTATTTACTTAAGTCACTCATTGCAACAATATTGTGCAGTTTTCAGACTTGTTATTCCAGACAATTCAATATTGTTTTACAAGTTCATAAGTATGTTCATGACAATATTAGTTCCGTAACCCTAGAATGCTAGCGTGGTTAGTTTAGTATACAGATATAACTTGTATGGGGTCTTGGTGGTCCGATGCTGACATTCTAGGGTTAAATGTTGTAACTAAGGGGTTACTTAAACACTTTGTAATCACATGAGAGAAGGAACAATCATAATGCATTATATTTATTAGGTGAATTGTATTTTTGGATGTTCTTCCCAAATTTAAATTCAAACAACATAAAAATTAGAATAATATCAATTTACTTTATTAAATAATACTTTTGATAGTTATAGCTTTATCTTACAAACTTTGAAAACCACTAGGGAATGAATAAAAATAAAACTAGAAAGCCTATTCAGTTAATATAGTATTGCTGAGTTAAAAAGTATCAACAACAATTAACTTCTCCACCCAAGCTGCAGTAATGTTTAATTTTAACAATGATGATATGATAAGAACATTTTTAAAAGTTAGCCGTGTAACACTAACCAAACTTTCACTATTATTTATGTTAAAGAAGTTTCACTAAAATAATATAGTATTTTGGATTATTCATTGTCGACAATATAGTTCTAAAGTAACCTAAATAAGTGAAAGTTAAAATAATGTTAATATGTTCTGTAAATGATTAGATAAGTCAGGTTACAATCCAGTGATTTCAAAGGTTATATCTTCATTTCAGTAATGTAATTGATATAAAAATAAAAAGTTAAAAACAAGCTATTCAAATTTATTTAACTAAACTTAAATAGTTATAATTATTTATAATCATATTTACAAAAAAAATTTATCATTGGTAAACAGGATCCATGTTTTCAAAAATGTATTATATATATTCATTACTTACACAGTCATACCACTCACATTTTTACTTATTTTAGAAATCAATGTTGTGAAAAACATCTTTCTCATGAGAATTTTAACTTCTAAACAAAGAACAACAGATTCTGTCACAAGTCAAGGTTATATGAGCTGTAGGTGCCTTAAACAATGCCTGACCTCCCACAAGACCCTTCAGAAAAAGTAGGTATAATTTATATTTTGTAGAGGACTTACCGACATGTCTTATTACAATTACTTACTTTGTCATAGCCATTAAAACCATAATAAATACACAGAAACATACATACTTAATCTGATTTATAGGTTTGTTGTTAAGCACAAATCTACACAATAGGCTATCCGTGCTGCACCCATCATGTGTATTTGATTTGTACAACAGTTTCACTGATTAGAACTAAACTTCACCTTAGACAGTTCTGTGTGTTTATCTCCCTGTGTATGTTTCAAGAGTTGCTATTTGCCAATATAATCACAAACTACTGTTTTATGACAAATACTACAGAAATAGTGAAACTGGTCATTTGGCAATGATTGAAAGTTCATGATCATCATCGTCTACACAGGTTAACTACTAGTGGAGAAATCATGTTTTTCCATGCTGCATTTTAGTTTTCTACATTTCTACATATAAAACTTGTTAAAGAGGCTGTCTCAAGCACCACTGCCATGGAGACATAATATGCATGAGCAATACAACACCAAGTGCATTATGTTAGATTAGCATAACATTAATAATATATGTTAAAACTACCAGGGTCTGGCTATTTCAAAACTTGACTAACAGATGTACACACACATAAAAATCAAACCACGTGCAGCTAAAGCTCAAAAATGTATTAAGCTAAAGGAGAATTTGATCATCCCTCAGTTATTCTTCATTGAATTCAAGGATATGTCCAGTCTAAAGTCATTCACAAGAAAAGACAGAGGACAATTTGTTCATCTTGCAAAAGAAAGTATCTCACCCTCTCTCTGGGATCATCAAGAAACTATAATTTGTACAAACCAACACCAGATTCTGAAACACTTTGCTATCTTAAGTTGAGAATGGGAACAGTTAGACTAAACTCACAATATTACTATACATGCTTTTGTGTGAAGTTTTGTATTTCAAAGAGCTAAACCAAAAATGTAGTTCAAAAATTAGGAAAAAAACAGGAATTTTGTGTAAAGACATTTAAGAGTAGGGAGCCTCAAAAATAGTGAAAAAGTAGAAAAGGAGGGCACATTGGGAGGCCTGCAATACCAACTTTAAAAAAATAAATCTTTAGAGTGTAAACACTAGAAAAACTAAGGTGCCAAAATTTACCATAAACTCGTTTGACATTTATTTTTTATATTAGCTTAGAAATAATCAGTTATTAGCTGGATTGTTTTAAACTCTAGCTGTGTTGATTTCAGAAAACCTCAAAAAAAGCTTTTAGATTAATTACTAACCCAACCAAAATCTCTTTTTCAAAAGCCTTAAAAATGCAATTCAACACAGAATAATCATCAAGTGTACAAATAAGACACATACATATACAATCAAGTTTGTGAAAAACACAACAATGTTTTAAACTTTATAAAAAGAAATTGCAACTATTACTTATTAATATTCATACATATTTTTAATTATGCTCAGAGTCAGACTGAGATACTTTCGGTTACAGAAGAAAAAGCTGCCCAAGCTGATTTGGAAACAAGTCTTTAGATAAAAAGAAAACAGAAATTAATGTAACGAGTTTGGGAAAAAATAAACATTTTCATAATTAATTTAAAATATCAGTTAACAAAATTTGTATGTTATTGTTACTGTTAATTCTTACTCTTTCAGGATTAAAGCTTTGTCAGTTTCAGTTAATATTTTCTAATTCTACATATACATTCAATTAAAATAATTGTGTATATATATATGTGTGTGTGTGTGTGTGTGCAGAACTAGAACTATAATTAAGAACAAAAAAATCGAACTTTACCTTTAAGGGCAAATTAGCCCATTCTCTACGTCTCTTTACATAACGATTTTCAAATGTCTGATTCCAATAGGACCGTTGAGATGGGTAGAAGTTTAAAGTTGGATAGACCTGGGTAACATTAATGTCCACTTTTGTTAGTGGAGATACTGGTGTACACATACCAGAAACTTTGGAAACGACTGGCTGCTGCGAGAATTTGGACTTCATATGACTAATCAAGCTTCTATCCTGATCATCACTGTAGTGTGTACGACCATTACTCCGATGATAGACGGGTACTGTGCTTGAATGATCATCATGTTGACCAGACAGATTTGGTACATCTGAATTACGATAAAGTACTACCAAACACATTGCAATCAGGGAAAGGAAAATCAACATCAAACGCACTCGTCCCTTCCTTGGGAAACACAGCATCATGCCAATAATAAACTACACGAAAAAACAGAAACACTAGCCAAGTAAAAAGTGAACTTTTTCTACACAAACACCTTTCTTTTTAATTTTACATTTGTGAATTATTCATATACAACTTACAAGTTAGCGGAAACAACCGCGATACTACTACTACTCCTACCGGTAGTGGTACTGAGTATTTTACCACATTGTAGCTAGCAACAATATCTTACTTTAATATTATTTTTAAGCAGTTAAATGTTATGGTTATGTCAAATATGACCTACATGAAATTGGAAGTCTCTAAATCGTAATCTGCAACTGCAAGTCTATTAGTATTATTAATATTATGGTAAAGGCATTTAGTTTACTGATTTAGTATAAAATGTAACAATGTATAAGCAACGCCACGGCTTGACTACATAATAATAGTAGTAACAGTATTTATTACATTAGTACACTAAAATGGTAATTATATTAATAATTAATACTAGTTACTACTGAATACTGTCACTCACTGATAAAATTAAAAGCTTTTAATAAAAAAGCCGATTTGTATGCACTCGCTAAACCAAAAGTTTTTCAGTAAGCCAAAGTTATAAAGAAATCGTAAAGTCGTGAACTTGTATCATTAACAGTCAAAATCATTGTTAACTAGAGGAGAAAACACTTATCCACCCACCTCACGTTAACATCGTACATAACCACTTAAAAAATCTTCTGAGTAGTTTGCTCCACAGCTCTACCTTTATTCAAGCATGCGCAGTTAAATAAACTATTTGCTTTCGGATATGCAAGGATGGGCCTGTGATAGAGCTCTGGATGCGAAACTGATGAGATGAGTTCCAGTCCGTGAGTTACCACAGAGTATTCACTGCACTTTAAACTGTGAATACGCTATAACTGTATCAGCCAGTCTCTTTGAGCAGATGGTAGGGTGCTGCTGACTGACTTCTTTTCTTTGGTCAGTCGTTAGTATTTCTGCCATAGATACAAAATACAGATAATACACTATGGGCTTTTAAATTTAGAGCTATGTCTTTGTGGTTAAATGAATATGATTTATTTCTTTACACTTAGTTCATATTTAATGGACTAAAATTGTTTCTGCTGAAAATCAAAATGTTATATATGATGTGCACATTATTTTAAAGAGGAAATCCCACGCTTACAAAAAAAAATTATAGATATAAAATGGTACACCACATTGTTACTGTTGTTACGTCTCTGGTCGTTTGTTAATTTCCTGTAAAAAATTTTCTGAAGAACTTCAGCGATACAAGTCCTTTCTTAAACAAAACTAGTTTATTCTTTCTCAATACAACTTTGCAATACATTTAATTTCCACAGTCACTTTAACTTAAACACACGCTATAATTCACAACGATTCACGCACTTTACTTACGACATGATTCGATTATCTGTCTCTATATCTCCCTATCGGCAATTATATCTCCGCTTTATTTGCCAAGCTTATATATTAAAATAGAGGGCGCCTAGAAAAGACTAGAGTTGCTAGGAACAGTCATGATTCTTCTAGAAACTCCAGCGTCACGTGACTTCCGCTGTCGTAACACTGCCCTTACCTTAGTATTGTTCGTCCCGAACAATAGCCACTTACATTTAACTAATAGATAATTAATAATAACTTAATTAAATGTACATAATTTACAAACACAAAATTAAAATACAACAGTCTCTTAATTTTACAGGACGTATCTTCTTCCCTAGTGGTCTCTGTCTCGTTGGCTTCTGCTTCACGTGGAGTTCATCTGCTCCATCACGAAATGTCCTATTATAAATAACAGTCACATCAGTGGTAGTAGCTTCATCAAGGGCTTCACTGTTTCCCTTCTCAAAACCGGGTAGATTTCTTCTTCAACAGTGGCTTTTTCAGGTGACACATCTTCAGCAGCATCATTTGTTCTGTTGCTCACTTCATACCAACTGAAATGTCCTGGACCGTGATAACACCAAAGCCTGTTGGCATACACCACCTTTAGCTTACCTCGCCGACCACATTTTATTCAGAAAGTCACGTCTGAGAGACGATCCACTATGTTATATGGGATTATGCAACCACATCTTGTTTCCTGGTACAAAGCTGACTTCAGTAGATCCCTTATCATAACATAGCTTCATGGAATCAGCAGACGTTTTCAAGTATGAATGCACTTGAGGATGAATATCATCCATCCTTTCAGATAACACTTTCACAAGCTCTGACACATTTTCAGGCAACTCTTCATAAGGTGAGCGTCCTGTTATCAGGCCCACTGGCAACCGAAGTTCCCAACCAAACATCAGCTTTGCTGGAGTGTATCCACCGGCTTCATGCTCTGCTGTCCTATAGGCCATCAACAGTGGAGGGAGTAAGACAACCCAGTCATCTTGGTGGCTATTACAAAACTTTGCCAATTTCTGTCCAATTGTACTTTTCTACCATACCATCAGACTGTGG